TCTTCTGGAATATCTCCAGGAAGAACAGAGCAATATCAACAACATAGTTCAACACCTGAATTTGACTGAACCACGAAAATGGACCCGCAGGGCAACCATGTTTAAATATTAGTGCGCATGCCCAACATTTCGTCGCCTATTTTTGCTTTGGCACCACAGCGCCACTTACAGGCCTGGCATACATTTTGCAGCGTTTTCATGCATTCGTGTGGACGATCACATTTATTTTACGTCTCCGTCTTTACGACAAACATTCTGGAAAATATTAGCGTTTCGTGTTCGTTTTGACTTCATGTGGACGGGGCCTTAGTCTTCAGGACGAAAACTATTATTTGTCTTAGTCGCATTTTAGTCATTACAATATGTGATAGTTTTAGTTTAGTTCAAACTTAAAAAGGTTTTAGTCTAGTTTTAGTCAGTTTTATGTTGCAAAATAAAGTTAACCTTTACAATTTTGAATAACAATCAGATTCTTTACCAGATTGACAGCTCTAGCCTAGATACTGGGTTTAGAATGCTGTAGTGCAATTCATAATTGCTGTTGGCAGAAAACTTAGATTTATAGAATTCAAATAAACTTTTTTTTTTTATGAAATGTTGCCGTACTTTATAAAGAAGTGTCTCACAAAAGTTATGAAAATAGTAGATCTAGTTCAACACATCCTGTTGGTTAATATAGCAAACAGAAAAGCTAACAAAATGTACAATAAAGAAATGGTTTTAGACATACAAGGTTTCCATCATAGAGCAAACACTTCCTGATCTACAATGAATTATGCATTACACACAGATCAATAAAATCTTCATTGCTCCAAATAAGAAAATCAAAAAACATTCTTCTTTCTGCTTTGGCAATTTTGGCTTTATTTCAATTTACCCCTCAGTTACTGCTGCTCAGGATTCAAAGTAGATTTAAATTCACAGGATTTTGATATTTAAAAAAAAGAGATAGCCTGCATAATTGCCTTGTAATGTCATGGCAATCCAGACCTAAACTGAATGAATATGCTAAGTAAAATGTTAACATATTTAAAGGGAACAGAGAAAATGTTTTAATGACAATACAAGGACAAATTTACATCTTATTTAAATAGACAGAAACAGAGAGAACCGAAATAGAGAAATAGAAAGAAATATTCTATGATCTATGTACCTTTTCACCGAGCTCTTTATCCAAAAATTAACAGAATGCAATGAAATATTTTGTTTGGATATAATTTAGGGATTCCTTTTATTAGAAATGAAAGAATGTTTAGTATCACCTCTTGTGAGCTGAAGGAAATAAAATCTTGATAGTTAGACAAAGGGTTTTTTTTTCACTTGGCAGAGGATGATCAGCAATTATTTGCTCTTTTATTGCCACATAGATGGCAGCTTTATCATTAAGCATGACTTTCTGGTTTGTAAGACATTGGTCAGCTACCTGCTGACCACAGTTCATGTGATTATGCGCTAAAGCTTTTATTTGCTCCTTTATTGGCACATAGGTGGCAATAAAAGAGCAAATAATTGCATCAACTTTCTAACATTGGGTCAAATAAAAGTTACATACCTTCATATATCTTATTTCGGTTTCAAAAGATCAACACTAAGGAAAATTTGTAACTAATAATCAATAAAAGTTTTGGCTCGTAATCACATGAATTCTGACGTCCTTTGCATGAATTCTGACTGCTGACGGACATCTTACAAACCAGAAAGTCGTGCTTAATTTTAAAGCTGAAAGCATGAAAGCGTCTCTGCATGCAGAGTTAGCAATGATCCAGCCTGGGACGGCATGAGCTCTGGCCCTGGTTGCAGTGTTTTTATTTGGTCCTGTGAGTGTTTGCAACCGTCTGCACCAAAGAGATACGGGGGGCGGTGGGTGTGGTAAGGGACTCCGTGTTGTCAGAAACACAAAGACAAATGCAAACACACAAATCTGCGTGTCCACACAAATGTGTCACGATCACACGGCTGTTGAAGTAAACAGGACAAGCTGTCAGACTTGTTCTTCGTGAATAGGCCCACTGTGAAGCAATTTACATCTGTCTGTGAACAGTCCAATCACGACTTTACATCGACGGCACAGCGGGCCTGGCAGGTCTTTGATTTCTAAAGTGCTGTGTCGATGCTCCAGGGTGGAGAGGTTAGGTGACCAAATATAGAGTCACAAAGTGGAGAGGCTTAATTGGTCTGTGTTTATTTGATGTAGTTCTCCTTATCGAATCCACATTTCAACCATAATTACAACTGAATCCAAATAAGCCTCAGTGAAAAGACTTAGTAGCAATAAAACTATCACTATTCTGCTAAAGTTGACCGTCTACATTAACCAAGTTTGCCATAAAAACAATCTTCATCCTTTTTTTGAGATGATTTTACAAACCATAACCCAATTATGTTAGATTATTAAACTTCTTTTTTAGAAAATTCTATAAAAAATAAGTGCCATTAATCTGCCAGAGAAGAAAGACAATTACACTTGGTAGGACTTCTTGTTTTGAGAATATATATATCATAACTTGAGGAAGTCTTACCGAGTGCAATGCATTTGCATTAAATAGAATCTCAACATGAGATTAATAATATAAAAAAATCTGTTATGCTTAGTTTATCAATCTAATAATTAAAAAAAAGATTACAGAGACTTTTGGTTAGATCTAAAATTGTATGACCCCTTTTGAATTGCATTACTGGAGCTACACTAATGTTTAAAAAACAATTGCTAAGAGTAACAAAACAAAAAATTTACACCATGATTTTAAGAAGTGCAATTGTCTTACTGCGCTGACAGATTATTGTACTCGTTTTGAGTAGAATCTTCTTACTCTTGCTTAGTGTATGAAACACTAAAACACATTAAATGAAATATCTACAGTACATTTCAATCTGTAGAGTCACACTGAAATGCTGCAATTTGGAAAGTTTTATTGACATAAATGAAATAACTTCTTTGGCGCCTAGACCACTGCAGAAGACCTTTATGGAAAAGAATCTTTTCTTTCTTGGAAAATAATTAAAGTAGCCTTTCCTCCCAGGGTCCGAACACTGATGGTGGAATACTGTAAGCCGGAGGATGAGTGGGACTCAGATTAGTCTGAGAATGAGGGAGGAGATGGGGCACAGGTGGGTGAAAGTTTGCTGGAGAGGAAAGATAGGCAAAGAGCTAAATTAATGGGATCTTGAAAGATGATTGACTACGGAGAAGGTGTGGTCCTAACATTGATTGACTGAAGGTAAAGCGAGGGACATTGAAGGTGGTCCAGCTGTCATGGCTCAGAACCGAGGACCCAGTATTCAAGGCAGACAGACAGATAGTTCAAAAGCATTTATATAAAAAAAAACTGATCTACAGTAGCAGCGGCTAGGACCTCTAGGACAGGAAACTACAGAAAGGAAACACAGGTTAGTGTCCACGTAAATCTGGCGGAGGAAGATTATGAACGCGAGTCACCAACCTGGTTTAATAGTTCAGTCTGTGCATGGGGAACGTGTCGCTCATAGAGTCCTAGCTGCTGTTGTCCCAGAAGACAAAAAACAAGCAGGAGATCAGATGCGGGCAGATGAAGGAGGGCAGGAAAATCCAGAGGGCAAAGGCAAAGCTGGTGTCCAGGACGTGTTTCCCTTCTGAATCTCTTTGGAGCCGAAGAGGTTTAGAAGGGAAATCCAGGTCTGTGACTGGAAACAGCTTCAAGTTCAGCAACAGGCAGAATCAAGCAGAAGTCCAATGACAGGTTAGGCAAACAGATCAGATTGGAACAGACAGGCTCAGAGTTCCAAAGGCAAAATTTACGAGTCACCTTCACCTTCAGCTATGACTCACATCAAAACCAGGCAGAGCAAAATACTTGACGTAGAGAGCAGCCTGGGATCAGCTGTTTTCAAAACTGAGATATCTGAGCTTATCAAAGTAGCTCAGGTTTCTTGATGAAAACAAAGTAAAAGTAATTATGTCAGTCTGACTATAATTTGTTTTCTGTATTTTGTCCTCAATTCATCCCGTTTATATGTGATTATAAGGGAGTTACTCAGAGGAGCCCCAGTTTTATAAATACAGGTTTATAATATGATTTTATTTTGTATTTATTTAGATTCCATACTAACTGCTAGGTATAAAATACCTAGGAATTAAATGCTCAAATTAAAAGATTAAGTAAATTTTTTTTATTTTATAATCAGTTATTATGCTTTCGTCCTATTTTCAGTCAACAATACTTTTGAATGAGAGGGGTACTCATGGTAAGACAAAATTTTTCTTTTGAAGATATAGAATTGTGCACGGGTAAACAGAGGAAAAACCCACTCTTATCTTTTAAATATTCTCTTTGTTTCATTAAACAAAGCAAAATAATAGATTCAAGGGACGCTAAATAAATGTATTTTATTTACATGAGCAATGAAACTAGAAGAGGAACTGACACTGAGTATTTAGAACATTAATTTCACTCTACAAGTTGTACATCTAGGCTGTAATTTGTTTAACACATTTCATGTATTTTATCTAGGGCTGAAACAATTCATCAGATGAATCTATTATCGAAATAATGTCCACAAATTTAGTAATCGATTAATTGTTAAATTGAGTATAGAGACTCTAAAACATGTCTTTAGCTCACAGGGCGATCAACTTAGAGCAGGAATTATACCAACATTGTAAAAAAAAACATTTAGCATTTTAGATCAAAAAAATATTTTCGCCATCCAGAAGTCCTCTACTGCTGCAACAACGCTGTATTTTAAATTATAAACATGTTATTCACATCTAATTGTTGGTAAGGACAAGTAGGTCAGTCCAAAATTTTGGTTGGGACATGTCCCTATAGTCCCTATGCAAACCTATGCCAATGGTTTCAGTAGTTGAGAGGCAGTGCTTTCCTTTTTTCTGTCTTTAGATGGTACCTGAGTGTTTTATTTATATGAATAAACCAAATTGAATTCACCCAGGTAAAATGAAAAACACTTCCACTAAATGTGTTGTTTCAAAAATCTCTTTTTCTCCTCCTATTTGTTGCTGCCAGCAGGATTTGCCGCTGCCTCGCAAAAACAGCAGGTGAGTGTTACTTTTGTTTACTTCCTCTCCGGCTCTCTGCATGTTCTTTTCCATCCCCTTCTTTCATGAAGCTGACAGCAATTCAAAGCACATGAATCTTGTTTGTTGATGTGAGTTTAATATTTCATTTGAAAGCAACGAGGCGGTTTGTTGGAGCTGATGGTGTTTTGTTGTACATGGTGTGTGGAGGATGAAGAGGACGAGAACGCCTCCTGCAGAGCAGCTGGAGTTTGTCAGACTTTGATTACTACCAGCTGTAATCTGTGGTTTCTGTCCACTGTGCTGAAGGATCCTTATCTCCAGTACTAATAAGTTTTTAATCCATCAGTGTTCCACTTTCTTTTCCGTTTACCTCTTTAACACCTGCTTGATCCTTCTTGTTTTCCAATCATTTAAATTTGAATTAGTCTCAGTGTTTATAGTTGTTACAAACTTAGAGTTGTGGTAGAGTTTGTTTATCAGATTCTTATTACCAATTACATATCTAGGATTCTATTGCAGTGGCTCGTAAATTGTGAATAGACAAAAGCATCATTCTTTTGCAAATTAAAGTATCTGAACTAAAAATGAAACTAAACTTGACACAATAAAAATAATGAATAATGTATTTATAAAACAATATATTATTGGCAGACAACATACAATGCTATATTGTGACATTTGCAGTATTTCTCTTGTTTTACCAGTCTTGGGTTTTTTACAAAGTGTCTCAATGCATCTTAATCATGTCTATTTAGTTTTAAAACAGCTGCATTTATGGGAAATACTTCACAGCTGTACTAACTTCTATGTGGAATAACTGTTGGAAACAGTGTTGCCAGATTGGGCGATTTACCACCCAATTTGGCGGTTTTTATTTTGATTTTGAGGGTAACCTATTAAAACACATGTCCACCAATCATTCATTATTACTGGTCCATAGCAAAGCCTCCATCACTGATTAGCTAATGTGATCTGCCAGGGTGTTTCCCACTGAGACCTAGTGTAGTGGTGCCACAAATTATGCTAGTTTTTGCAGCAGGTGGATCTGATATGATAACTCTAGCGCTGACGATTGATGCGTTCAGGTTGGAAGAGGAATCTTTTAACCTCTTACATTATTTGAAAGCTACCACCCTCTAGTTTCCTAATATATAAATTAAAATTGGGTGAGTAGAACACAGACCATCCTGCATCAGTTCAAACATGACTCAAAGTTGTTGTTTTTTATTCTCGGAAACGATAGGTCTTTTTTGAACAGCAGTAATAAAGACATTCTTGAGAAAGTTGTATTATATTTTTTCTACATCATGTCAACCACAAATGCAGAAAATTTCAGACCTCTAGCCAGAGGCGTGCACAGACATTTTGGTGGGCAGGTGCTCAGGAGGGGGGAGGGCACTTTTTAGCGCACGTGGAACACTTAATTATAAAAACAAATACACACACGTTGAATGAAATTTGACTTTTATTTGTAACATTCTCTAAACATGAGTTTTCAATGGATAAAAGTCAGAACAGACTAAAGCGTACTACTTTAAAGTAGTACGCTTTAGTCTTTCTTCTTTAATCTGGCTCATCTCCCTGTTTTCCCTCACCCATCTGTTCTCCCTCACCCTGGTCTTTTTCTGTCTCTGGGTCTTCCCTGAACTCTTCCTCATCTCCTGTCCTGGTAGATGTTGATGGTATAGAGCTTCCCTGCTGTGACTGGCTACAGTATAATAATAATAACCATCATGACAATAATAATGATAATAATAGCTTTAACAAATATGCCACATTAGTTTAAATAATGGGCTATTAGGGCAACATGACTGGAAGTCTTGTCACGTTGATATGACTTATGGTAGCCTACAAAATAATAGCTATTTTAATACCTGCTGATTTTGTAAAAACCACTTAAAAATAAAATGTGAACAGCTTTTAAGATTTTTCAATACGATTAACCCTCCTTTCTTGGCATTGTGCTGCAATTACTAAATCAATATGCAATTAAGACAATAAAGAGACCAAAATGTGTAAATTTATGTTGCCTAACAAAACCTATACAACAGAAAACATTTGTCTTAACGCATAGATTTGCAATTGCAAACTCTACCGAAATTATTTGTAGCTTATGTGGTTGTCCTCACGTTATCTGTCATTGACTTGGGCTATAGTGTAAAACTTTATCTAGCCTAATTAGTTTATCAGGTGACCAGTCGGCAAAATGCTTGTTTGGTGCTGCTGAATGAGACATTTTAATGCACAACAAAATGATTTTGCTTGATCTGTATATTACCTGGCTAATGGGGCACGGGAGAAGCAGCCTGTCAGCGACCGTTCCTGCTATCTGAAGACGCTTACTGAACTGCTATGATGCTGTGCATCTGGCATGCCTTGCGGGCGACCGCACGAGTTCACGTGACAAAGGAAGAGAGATAGGCTGGTCGGATGTGCGCAAGGAGGTGACTTATTTCGGGGCATTGTTTCAGTCGTTTTTAATGGCTCAGGTTTTCAAAAGATCATTTCAAAACCGACCTCAGTAAAATCTTAATAATATTAATAATAATAATAATAAAAAACGAGTTTCAAAAGGGCATTTTCGTTGATAAAGGGCAAACTTCCTAGTGCTTTAGCACCACCTAGTGTCTATGTGTGCACGCCCCTGCCTCTAGCTATAACAGCTCCAGAGCTGTGGGCTGTGGAATGTTTGGTGTCAGCTTGGAGCTGCGCGCAATGGCTCCACCTGCTGGTAAAATTTTTACCGGTGTAATTTTATGCATTCTGAATTATTACCCCCACTTAACGTGTATCGGGTAGCCGGTGACCCGGTGGGTTTTAAGGGATTAAAGATGCTTTAGGAAACCGCTTCTATCGGGATTTAGCGCTTGGTGCAATTAAACTCCTCCCCCTCCCTATATCAAGCTCGCCAGTTGAAAGAGCTTTTTCACAAGTTGCTCTGCTGAAAGCCGACTCCAGAAATCGCATGGGCCTGCCGATACTGCGAAGTTTGATAGATCTGCAAACCAAACTAACACAGAATGGATGGACATTAGCAACAAACCCTCCTTCCCCGCAGTTAGATTTCATTCAACCATGTACTGATCTCAAATCACAAGGGATTGTAATATAGTTCATCGGAGGTAAAGTTCAGCGTTCCAATGTTCAATGTTCCAGCCATCAATCTAATAAGCATTAAAGGTAATAATTCAAACTCAACCATAATAAATGTAATTATTTCAGTGATGTAAAAATAAGTTTAGCATATTTGTGAGTGATCATAGTTTGTCTTCTAAATGTAAAAAGAGGAGTAATCTACGTGGTTTTGAATCCATCCTCAAATGTGTTAGTATTGGTATATAGTGTGTCACATGACACTGGATCTGACATCACTGTGCTGGCAGGGTCAGTTGTTTACAGAGAACAACTCTGGGCAGATTTAGTTGAATTGTAGCTTTTTTTTTTATGTGTTGAATTAGGTTATACTGAAGTGTTCATGTTCAGTAAATATAACAATATATTAATTGGGCAGGTTGTTGTGTGACGTGACTCTTTCAGGCAACAATGGTTGGAAACATGCTGGCTTTATCAAACTGTTCTATATTGTATGGTGGCTGAGGGGTGCCAGTGTCTGCATAAATACATGATTTAAGAGCAAAATCAAAAGGTTGTGCAAACTCAAAAGTAAAAATAGCAAATGGAAAAATGCTGCAAGTTGGAAAAACAACTGCAAGTTAGGAAAAGCTGCAAACTAGCTGGAATAATGGAAGTTCTCCAAACCACTAGGTGAAAAGAATCCATCTGGGACCAGAACATAGACAACTCAAATTAATATTAATAGGCAAAAACAGAAATGGTATGCCATCCAAAGGACATTTGGAAGAAAGATTAAAGACAGTATGTTTTCCTCTGAGTCTTTTTTAAATATTTAAATGTCCTCAGGCTTATTTACTACTTTACTAATAGTCTGTCCCTACATGACATGATGATTATCTCCCCCTATTGGTCTGAAGCACTTCAGTTATATGGAGCTGGTTAGCAGATGATGTTTCTTCATGTTGCTTGAAACATACATTTTAAGGCCATATTACCATAGAAATGGTCTACAAATGTTAAATAGAGATGATAACATGTTTCTTTTTTTTATCGGAATGTTCGTTTATTTCCAAGCTTTAACCATTTTACCCAAGAGATTACCCTCAGATGAAAGATTTTTGGTAGGATTTAAAACAAACATAAATATATATAACAACTGAATCAAATATGTTCTTTAGGGAGTTTTTTTTTTTCAAAATCTGCAAACGTACCTATTAATGTTTGCCAGATGTAGGTTGTTTTGTTTTCACTCCTCTGTCCAATTCATCCCAAACCAGCTAAATGGGGTTTGGACACAGATCTTTCCACTGCATGTTTTTTCATGTTTATTTTGTTCTGTTTCCAGATTTAGTTGTGGCATAGCTTGGACTAATGTTTTGGGTCATTAGCTTGATGTAAGATGAACCCCTGGCCAAGTAGTCACCTTGCATGCCGCTGTCATTTTGGTTCAGAGGGTTTCTCATTTTGTACAGATCACCGACACTGGATCCATGAAAATTATGCAAACCATTACATACTTCTATGTTTGACAGTTAATGTCACACACAGAGGAACTTTCAAATGTTGATTCATCAATCTATAACCCTTTCTTTCAGTCTTCAGTTTGTCCATTAGTAGTTTTTCATGGCCCAGGCAAGCCAGTTTGTCTTATTCTGTCGTCTTAACAATGGTTTTCTTGCTGCAACTTGTCCAGTCAAACCTGCAGTCCTCTTTTCACGGCTGAAGCTGAGATTTTTCTATCAGCATCTACCATCAACCTGTGCTGGAAGCTGTTGATTTGTGGGCTGCTGATCATGCAAGCTGTTAACATATCCTCTGATTCAGGTTTTGCTTTGGATCTGCCAGATCTCTTCCTGTTTCTGAGTTTGATTGTAAAGGAAACGGTTCTCACTGCCTCCTTGAATTTTTATAACAAGTCCTTCACGTAAAAGTTTTTTCTATGG